GCCCGCCCGCCCGGCTGCGCCGCGCCGCCTTGCCTTACCGCTGCTCCCATCGGTAGGCGCCGCTGTCTTCGCCATGCGCGTCAGCTGCACAGCTCCGAGGGGATGGCCGAGGAGGAGCCGCCGCCGCCAACGCTACCCCCGCTCCCGCTCCCGCTCCCGCGCCCGCTCGCTGCCTGCTGCTGGCGCTGCTCTGGCCGCTGCTCCTCGCCTGAGCTGCCGGCGCGAGCCCAGGCGCGCGCCATCCCCGGCTCCCACCTTGTCCCCATGGCAACCCCGGGCCCAAGGATGCTCAGAGAGAGAGCGCGAGCGAGAGAGCGAGGGGGGAGAGAGGGAGAGGGAGAGGGCGGGGAGCGCAGGGGACACGGAGGCAGGGAGAGGCCCCAGACTCACAGAGACACAGAGATTCACAGAGACAGAGACACGCAGAGATAGGCTGAAACAGATAGAGGCTGAAACAGACAGAGATGCAGTAACAGAGAGAGGGGAGAGGGGTGGGGAATAGAGGGGGACACAGAGACAAGGAAAAGCACAGAGACCTACAGAGACACACAGAGATACACAGAGACACACAGAAGGAGACAGAGGGGAAAGGGAGGGGCAGGGAGCAGAGGGGGACTCAAAAGCAGGGAGGTGCCGAGGCCGGGAGACCCACAGAAACACCCAGAGACACAGAGACATCCAGAGACAGAGACAAGGGGAAAAAGGGAGAGGGAATAGGCAGGGAGCACAGAGGACTCAGAGGCAGGGAAAGACTCATAGAGACAAAGAGATGCCCAGAGACAGAGACATAGAGTCAGAGAGACACAGAGACACACAGAAACATATGAACACAGAGACAGAGCGAGAGGGGTGGGGAACAGAGGGGGACTCAAAGGCAGGGAGATGTCCTAAGACCCAGAGACTCAAAGAGACACCAGAGACACAGAATACAGGAAGGAAAGGGAGAGGGGAGAGGGTGGGAGTACAGGGGATACGGAGGCAGGGAGAGACTAAAAGAGGCAGAGAGATGCCAGAGACACACAGAAACATGTAGACACAGGCATGGGCGGGTGGTGAGGAGAGAGGTGGGGAGAGCAGATGGGGACATGAAAGCAGAGAGAGGCACTAAGAACCAGAGACACTCAGAGACAAAGAGATAAGGAGAAGAGATCCATGCAGAGAGAGAGATGAAGAGCCAGAAAAACAGCCACAAAGAAGAAGACAGACAGCAGATGTGAATAGTCATAGAGAGAGAGAGACAGAGACACAGATAAGAGAGAGAGACATGCAAGAATCAGAGATAGGAGAAAGAGCCACACTCAGAGAAAGAGGGAGGAAGAGGCAAGACAGAGCTGGAGAGATAGAGAGAGAGGAAAACACAGAGACAGAGACAGGCACAGAGAGATAGACACGGAGATAAGAGAGACATGCAGAGTCAGAGAGATATGAAGAAAGAGCCAGAGAGAGGCAAAGCCAGAAAGACACTGACAGAGACCAAAAGATACAGAGACTAAGATAGAGAAAGAGAAAGAGGCACAGAGAGAGAGGGGCAGAAGCAAGGAGATAGATGACTCGTGAGATGTAGACAGAAACATAGAGAAACACAGGGATTCCGAGAGGGAACCTAAGACAAGAAAGCAAGAAATGTGCAAAGAGAGACACAGAGGCCAAGACGGAAAAAGAGACACGAAGAAATAAAGACAGTGAGAGACAGAAAGCAAAGACAGATTTACAGAGGCAAAGTGATGACGCAGAGAAACACAGAGATACAGAGACCTGGACAGAGACTGCAAGAGACAGAGGAGACATCTAAAGAGACAGAGAGAGATATGGTCGATGGAGACAGACAGACACTGGAAGAGGCGCCCTGGTGGACAGAAATCCTTAGGGAGGTACAAGGCAGAGACACCAAGAGATAAACGGAGAGTCCGAAATACAGAATGAGACTGGAAAAGGTGTGTGTGGCAGGGTGGGGGACAAAGAGGCAGAGCCTAGGGAAAGCAGAAAGGTGCAGGCTGGGGTGAGAGCAGAGACCAGGAGAGGGACAAGGGGGTCTAGGGGAGCGGAGGGGGAGAGAACAGGAGAGCAGGTTGGGGGAGACAAAAATAGCAGGGAGGGGAGGGAAGCAAGGAGGGCAGGACACGGTCACTGAACACCTCCCCTGGGCCCGACACAGTAAGGCTGGGGAGGGAGAGGAAGGAAAGGGAGGCTGAAGGGGAAGGGACCCTGGGCCGCGGGCAAAGTCGGCTCCGAGTCTGAGGAGGACACGTGGCCGCCGGCCCCTGCCGGCGGGGGCGCTGCGGTGCAGGGCGGAGGGTGGGGCTGTGAGTGGTACCCAGACCAGGAAGGGGTTTGGAGGAGGAGGGCGCGGGCGCGCCGCGCGGTCTGGGCTCAGCAACAGCCTGTCGCTTTGTTACCCGTCATCCGGCTGCCCCGTGCCGACTGAACGGGCACACAGGATCGTCGCGTTGGGTGCGTGAGAGAAACATGAGAATCACCAACTGCCCACGTGTACCGAGAGGGCTCCCGGGACCTACAATGCAAGTGCGTAACAGAAATAAATACAGGAAACACCTACCCCGCGGGCGTACAAAGTAAGTACACGGGACCGTGCGGCGTTCTTAACAGACACGGAAGTACCTACTACCCCGTGTGCGCAGCAGCCTCTTGGGACCCACAGTGTGTGCACAAAACAAATAAATGCAAGAAATACTCACCCCATGTGCATACAAAGTAGGCACAGGGACTTTCGCAGCCCGTGCATAAGAGACATGGAACCACTTAATACATCCTACACATCACAGGCCCTCAGGCCCTCAGGCCCCACCCACACTGACTGTACAGGACACAGATAAATACAGGAAATGCCTGCCCCACCTGCACACAAACTAGGCACACAAGACCTACAGGGCATGGACGTAGGAACCACATACCAAGCAGCTTGCCAGAATCCACACTGTGTATGCACAGCGCAAATAAATGCAGGGAGTATTGTATGGCCTGTGCCTATAAAGCAGGCGCATGACCTAATGGGCCTCCCTAGTGTCAACGTGAGAGAGGCCCATGAGCAGATCCTGGAGACCCACAACAAGCGTATAACACAAGTTACTATAAGAAACTCCCACTCCGTTTGCAGACAAAGGCACATGGGTCCCGCTAGTAAGAAGGAAAGCCCCCCAAAAAGGTGTGTGTGTAATGACAACACAGGAATGGCCCACCCTGGAAGGAGCAAGGAGGAACACGGACCCTGCAATGAACTACCCAACAGACCCCGGTGTGTGTGTGCACAACAGACAGAGGATGACTGCCAGAAGGGAGGTTCCAGGCCAGGGCTGGAGCCAAGGACAAGGATGGGCTGTGCTCTGCCTCGCCCCCCAGCACCTAAAAGGACGGCATGCGGTGGGGGCTCATCCCTTCTAAGAATGACCAAGTATGTAATAATTATGTGTATGAATACGCACTAAGGACACTAGTACCGGTGTTAAGGATCCAAATATATTGATTTGCTACGTGGGAAGTCCATCCATTTCAGATGCTCACTAGACAGGATGTTGAGTGGCCCACATATGATAGGTATCCCCTAATTATCCAGAATATCCATATCAAGCAGAAGCTGACATTCCTCTTGTACCTACATACCAGAAGCAGATGCAGGAGGACAGCCCTGGGGGCAGGTTGTCCTAAATGCTCTCGAGGGCTCCACCCAGCCCTGAGTCATAACCCTGGGAGGGTTGAGGCAGCCACCAGGCACGTTCGAAGATGTATGCAGGACACGGCACACAACGCTGGGAAAATGTGCATGCTCTCCCTGCTTCTGAAAGAGCCCTGATTCCAGAAGTGTGGATTCCTCTGAAGAGTGTGTGTGTGTGTGTGGGTCTGAGTGAGAGCCGTGTCTGGGTACAGATATGCATGCACGCAGTTCTTCCCCTGTGAGTGAACTTGTGTGCTTAGCTCTCACCCTTCCTCATTCGGCCCATTCACATTTCAGAAACTTGTGTAAAAATAACGGTACCTGGTGTTATAAATGCAATATGTTGTAAGCTGTGGATACTTATAATTGTGTCTGCATATCTGAACGCACCTCTGGATAGAGGCACATGCTCGCTAATGCAACGTGTCTGTTCACGCATCTGTGGCCACGTGTGTGTGTGTGTGTGTGTGTGTGTGTGTGTGTGTCTGTGTCTGGCTCACAAGTCTTGGGTCTCCCTTACACCCCTGAGGGTAAAGGGGGTAAGATATGGGAAATGGAGGCACACGGGGTGGGGGAAGGAAACTGAGAGGGGGAGGAGGAGAGAAGTGGTGCGAGGAGCAGCGGGGGAGAGACGTAGAAGTGGATGGGACCTCGGGAAGGAAGGAAGGAGGCCGTGGGGACAGAGGCAGGCAGGAGACAGTGGATGAGAAAGGGCGGAGCACAGGGACAGCAGGTAAATGGATGGAGAGAACGGAGGGGAGACTGGAGGAGAAAGGAGGTTAAGTGGGGCGGACAGGAGACCAGCGAGAAGAGAGTGGGCTAAGGGTGCCAAGAAGAGGGACCCAGACTGCGGAGAGGAGAAAAGAGATGAGAGATGGAGCGAAGGAGGGGATCAGAGAGACAGAGGTTTTTCTGGCCAGTACAAAATTTAGAGATTCCCCCAAGGTCCTCCCATGGGAAGGTGTTTGAGCGGGGCATGAAGCGGGATGGCAGGAAGCAGAAGAGAGGAGGGAAAAGAAATCACGACTCAGCATCCCGGGATGGGGCAGAGAGCTGCCTCCAGCATCCCAAAAGGAGCTCAGAGAGAAGGGCTCCTGGGGCACAGAGAATGGTACCCAGAGCAAGCCCGAGGTGTGGAGGCAGCTGCAGGGGGAGGGTCCAGGAGGCGGTGGTAGGAGGAGCAGGCAGACTCAAGGAGGTGAGGGCTCCGTGGTACAGAGGTTTCCGAAGGCCAGAAGGGCGGGCAGGAGCGGAGAACCAAGGACCAGGTAGAGGAAGAAGCTTAGAAAGGAGCAGCGGAGCGAGAGCCTGCTGGCTGGCAAGGGCCAGGGCAAATGGAAAAGCGGCTGGAGGGCGGCGTGAAGGCCACCGGGCATCTTGCAGATGGGCCCAGCGTCACGCACTTCCAAGGATCAAGAAGCTCTTCTAGGTTGTCTCTCCCAGAGCATACGGTTCAGTCCCATCTAAGAAACATTCACTGAGTGCTAGTCTGTGCTAGGACCGTGCTATGAGCTGAAAACACAAAGGTGACCCTCACAGAGACCCTGTTGTGGGGAGGAAAAAGACAAGAAATACGCAGTTACTGACACACTCAGCAACGCAGATGAACCCGAAAAGCAAAGTGAACAAGGCTTGTCACAGGAGACTATATACGATAGGATTCCGTTTACACGAAATTCTAGACAGAGCGAAACTCTAGTGACAGAAAAGTAGCTCAGTGGTGGAAAGGAGCTGGGATTGGGAGGAGGGACTGTAGCAAAGGGACAGGAGGGAACTTTGGGGGGTAACGGAGATGTTTTGCATCATGACTGGGGGCAGTTACATGACCCTGTGTGTGTGAAGACCCATCACACTGTACACTTACAGTTGGTGAATGATTGTATTTAAATTATACTGCAATAAAGCTGAGCAAAAATACATAAATAAACAAAAAATTATGCGCCAGAACGTTAAGGCCCAAGATAGGGAAAACTGTGCTCAGTAGGAACCAAGAGGAGGTGGAGGGGGCAGTGAGGGAGGGCTTCCAGGAGGAGGTGATGCCTGAGATAAGACCTTAAGGATGGAGGTGGAGGGTAAGGCGCTTCCACGGTAGAAGGACTTTCACACGGTAGCAGGTGAGGACTGAAAAAAGTTCAGTATGCCTCAAACACAGAATGCAAAGTAGGGCTATCAAGTAATGAGAGTAGAGAAAATCAAGGTCCAAAATACAAACCTCATGACCATTGGGAGTACTGCGTTGAATAAACCCCACCTGCACCCCCAAAGGCCCACAAGAGGGAAACTGCAAGCAAGACAGGACTGGGACTTGCTCATCTGCCCTCGGCCGCCCCACAGACAGTGGTTCCTTCCCCTGTCCTTCCGGAACTTCATTCCT